TATTTGTTTCCTTCAAGTGCCAAAATATTTTGATAGTGAAGTCTGGTTTCTTTTGTTTATATTATTAAAGGAGCACTTATGCTGCCTCCATCTATCTTTAAAATTATTCTTCGTGGACCCAATGTATATCATATTAGTGCTAGTGCTCTCTGTGGATGAAATAGTGCATTGGTATACCACAGAATTAATACAACATTTATTTTCTAATGGGCAGTCTTCTGGGTTTCTACAGTTACATAATTTTTCCCTATTATCATCTGATTTAAGTGTAGAGTTTTTATTAATACTGTTTTGGCATGGGGGTTTGTTCAAGATCTTATTATTGTGTTTTTTATTATGCGTTCAAGATTATCAGAGCAGCTGTAGCTCAATTTTAGGGTGTTCTTATTGAATATATTACTAAGCTTACTATTGGTGGGGAAGTGTTTATTAATTAGAGCTAAGAATTTCTGTCCTAGTTTAATACTAACCCTTTGGTTGAACGGAGGGGTGTACCATATGATATTTCTTTTCCTGTTTTTTTCCCATGTCCAGTGCAATTTTCTCTGTAGTTAATGTTAGCATTTTTATAACCACTATTTTTTAGGGCAGTGTAATATAAGCTATTATGTTTTTGGAATATTTCCCTGTTTGCGGAGTTAAGGCTAATTCTATTTTCTATTGATGAGGGTATATGTTTAATTATTGATGGAGGATGGTTTGACTTCGGGTGTATGTATAAAGGGTTAGCATTTGGTTTTCTATAAGGTTGGTATGTATTGTCTGGTAAGTCTAGAGTTACGTCGAGGAAGTTAACCCTTTTCAAATTAGAAGAGACAGTTATCTTTAAGTTTAGTTTCTTAAATTCAGTAAATATAATTTTTCTGATTTTTTATCAGTAGGGTTATTTCCACGAAAATAGAAGTATGCTTTCCATCTCATCCTTCTGATTCATTCCTCTTTTTTGGAAAAGCTTAACAAAATAATTCCGTTTGTTTGTTAGTGGAATATTTTTGAGAGAAAGCGAATTGCACCCTTATACAGTTCGATATCGTGGACTACTACCCATCAATTTCGAAGGATTTATTTATGACTGCCTTGGACTTCGCTGCTGTGTATTCGAACCTAACAAAGGATGAAATGTATATAATCCTCAGCGCAAAGAAATCGGTCCTCATTCACAATGGGGACCAATGGATAAAAAACAATAACGACCTGTTTGACATCACTATGGGATCGTTAGACTCTGCAGAGTCTTCTGACCTTGTTGGTCTCCTAATACTGTACAATTTAACGGCACACCGCGAAATTGATATTAAGGACATCGGGCTGTATAGAGATGACGGGCTCATGGTGGTGAGGAGTTCTACTAGTTTTAAGATTTTAAGATTGAAAAAATCAGAAAAATTATATTTAGTGAATTTAAGAAACTAAACTTAAAGATAACTGTCTCTTCTAATTTGAAAAGGGTTAACTTCCTCGACGTAACTCTAGACTTACCAGACAATACATACCAACCTTATAGAAAACCAAATGCTAACCCTTTATACATACACCCGAAGTCAAACCATCCTCCATCAATAATTAAACATATACCCTCATCAATAGAAAATAGAATTAGCCTTAACTCCGCAAACAGGAAATATTCCAAAAACATAATAGCTTCTATAACACTGCCCTAAAAAAATAGTGGTTATAAAAATGCTAACATTAACTACAGAGAAAATTGCACTGGACATGGGAAAAAAACAGGAAAAGAAATATCATATGGTACACCTCCGTTCAACCAAAGGGTTAGTATTAAACTAGGACAGAAATTCTTAGCTCTAATTAATAAACACTTCCCCACCAATAGTAAGCTTAGTAATATATTCAATAAGAACACCCTAAAATTGAGCTACAGCTGCTCTGATAATCTTGAACGCATAATAAAAAACACAATAATAAGATCTTGAACAAACCCCATGCCAAAACAGTATTAATAAAAACTCTACACTAAAATCAGATGATAATAGGGAAAAATTATGTAACTGTAGAAACCCAGAAGACTGCCCATTAGAAAATAAATGTTGTATTAATTCTGTGGTATATCAATGTACTATTTCATCCACAGAGAGCCCTAGCACTAATATGATATACATTGGGTCCACGAAGAATAATTTTAAAGATAGATGGAGGCAGCATAAGTGCTCCTTTAATAATATAAACAAAAGAAACCAGACTTCACTATCAAAATATTTTTGGCACTTGAAGGAAACAAATAAGACACCAAAAGTTAAATGGAAAATTATTGACAAGGCTAGAATATGTAAAGCTTGGGATGACCCATGCCCTTTGTGCCTCCATGAAAAAATGCACATTATTAAACTTAAATAATAATAATCTATTAAATAATAGACACGAGATAACGGTTTTTTGTAGGCATCATCAGATTTTTGGTTTGAAATAAAAAAATTTATATAACTTGTTTAACAAATAACCCAATCATCAGATTCATAGTAGAAATTTTTAACTACAAACTTGCATACAACATAACACCCTTCATAACCCATAGCCCAAATTAGTAGTTTAAATACCTTACATAAAAGATAACCCTTTATGAAGTCGTCAAAAAACAAACGTTACGAAAGTTTTTTTTTATATGCATAATTCCCTTTCATAATAAAATAAAATAAAATAAATAAATAAATCTCCATAGACAAGCCAACTTGACGAAAGCTTAATACATCTTCGTTTCATTTTTGACACTCTCACCTTCCCCGACTTGACACCTTGAAAGTATCTCTATACCGCTACTCATCATTAACACCCTACACTCGCCTACCCATTTTAGACAATTCGCCCCTAGCTGTTACCATGGTGATTTTGATTTCAATTTTTAAAACAAGTAAATTTCAGATATACGTTATTCCAACAAAATTTCGCTTGAAGATGGAACGGAGCCCTTTTAATTTCAACTCAATTTAATTTAAAGGATTATATTGAAGTTTTCGGCTCTTGTTTTTGAAACATGAGACCTCTTATGTAGCGATTTAGAATCATATTTTTAAATAAATAATTATATTTATGCTCTACTTTTGTATCGAGCACTATTTTTTTAAAAATAATAACAAAAAATACTAAGGAACTTTGGACTATTCACCTAACCAGTTCCTTCCTATTTTCTATATATTTTCACACACACACACACATATATATATATATATATATATATATATATATATATATATATATATATATATATATATATACATTAATCATCAGTTTACTCTAATCTTAATGTATGTGAAATTATAAAAAAAATATTCCTATATGTCTAGGTATTGATGCCTAATAGAAACAAAATATATTTTGTTTGTTTACTAAGCAAATGTAAAAGTCATTGGCGTGATCTTGGGCGTCATGCCTACCATTGGCACCCAAATTGAAGATTATTCAATATTCTTTTTGACTATTTTAAGAGAATATTGAATCATGTTTTTCCCAGGAATTATCTTGGTCGTTATTTTGATTCTAAAATATAATTTTTTTAACAAGATTTTCAATATATTTTTTTATTCTATTTAAATGTTACAGAGCCACATATGTAGCAGAATTTATTTGGACTATGTTTTCATTTTCATCTTGGCATTTTTTATTATATTTTTATTTTATCTGAATATAAATAAGAAAAGAGTTAAACTTTGGGAAAATATGAAAATTCGAAATAAATATTAGATGGCAACTTACAAAAAAACTGGAGACATTTCGTAAAAAAATAAATCTTATTTTCATAATCTACACCAAAATGACACTAGGAAACAAAGTTCTCATCTTCCTAGTCGACAAAAAGTTAAATTTTGTTGGACAGTGTTATTAGTATTATAGTCAGCGGATCTCAGCACTCATGCAATATTAACTTTGCTCCATGACGATCTGATTTTGGGGTCAATTTGGAAATTTATATACAGGAAATTCAATTTCTTTTTGCGTCTGCGTACAGCAAATCCCTTCTTAAATGGTAAATAAGTTTACCAGTTAAGCTGGTACCTTCGTCATTGCATAAAAACGAAAATTACCTATGGCAAATTAATATATGAAATGTGAAATTAAAAAGACGAGTGACTAATTGTCTAAACGTGCACGATAGATCAACCAAGTAAGCAATTAATATCAAGAGTAGTTGAAGACGATATTGGAAAATAAAAAAAAAATAATCTTATGCATACATTCAGCTACAGGTATTAAAAAATAAAGTATTTTCTCTTAAATATTTTTTGGGATTCTCGGGTGGGTCCAGAATGTGGATTTGGAGAGTCGAGTTCGAATTCTTGTCGATTTCATTACAGTCACTTACGTGCAAAATACATTAGGAATAGTATGAATCCATTCGTTCCCCACCAAACTATTGGTAAAATAGGACTGGAATCGAGAAAATAATTGTTATTTCCAAACAATTCTTAATGCAATATTCATACGCGAAAAGAAAAGAAATATTCTTACAATCAAAAAATATTTTTCGGCTTAAATAACCGGCAAAGTGTTGTTAAAGCATAAAAACATCAATCAATCAAATCGTTTGAATTAAAGTAGTCGGTGAATATTGGATTATAGAGAAATTTAATTGAATGAACACAGCGTAGAATCCAAGTCTCTTATGGTAATGAAAATATCCCATAATGCAGTTTAATACTATTAAACACAAAGGGGCGTGCATAATTTCCCCAACAGATTATCCTAAAATGTTTTAGGTGAAAATAATAAATTATATTTTTCTCAACTTGAATGCAAAAAAAAAAAGTAGACCTTTCTCCTTTGGCAACGGATTACGCAACTCAGATGACTTTAGCATTTCAGTCATTTTGCATTAAGACGAAAGTTGAGATAGATCTCAAAGTTTGCCAAGACTTCTTTACAAATGGATGTTTTAATCGAGTGAACATTTCTGGTAGATTCTTAAAAACGCTTGAATAGCTTTATGTTCCTATTAGCACAACAAAGGGGATTATAATTTTACTATACTGACTTTCAATCAATGACAGAGAGCTTTCTTTCTTTCTATGTCAGTGTGTAAATATCTACGTCCGTCTGTACGTATCTATCTATTTATCTGTAAATATTTGTATGATTATCTATCTATCTATCTATCTATCTATCTATCTATCTATCTATCTATCTATCTAGCTATCTAGCTAGCTAGCTAGCTATCTAGCTAGCTAGATAGATAGATAGATAGATCTATATGTATGTATATGTGTGTGTGTGTGTGTGTGTGTGCGAGTGAAACACCGTCTGCAAATATCTGTCTGTCTATCTCCCACCGTCTGTATATGACTTTTGTATTTATCTCCGCCTGTAAATATCTATCTATCTATCTATCTATCTATCTATCTATCTAGCTAGCTATCTATCTATCTATCTATCTATCTAGCTATCTAGCTAGCTATCTATCTATCTATCTATCTCCGTCTGTAAATATCTATGTCCCTCTGTAAATATCTATCTAGGTGCGTCTGTAAGTATCTATCTATCTATCTATCTATCTATCTATCTATCTATCTATCTATCTGTCTGTCTGTCTGTCTGTCTATCTATCTATCTCCGTCTGTAAATGTACATTGGTCTATCTTTCTCTCTCCATGATGCATATCATTTATGTACCCATTAGCTCACAAATAGTTTAGAATTTATCCCAGGCTGACTGCCAATCAAAACCAACTTTGGTCCGCTTTGCCCTGTCATTTAACCCTGGGTGAGTCAGAGTTTTACTTTTCCTAAAGGTATATGCATGAAAGTGAGCATAATGATCTCAGGTGGAATTCGATCACTGATCGCCAAGTTCTCTTCCCTAACCGCGAATCGTAACAGGAACACCCCATCCGCATTCAATATTTAACCTATGAACTAAAAAAAAATCTTATTAGGTTTTATTATTTAGAAGTGATAATCCCTAGATCATGTTTACTAAAACATTAAACATATTGCTGATAAAATATTCGATTTCTTCTTTTAAAGAACTAACAATAAAACGAAAATATAAGAACACGTCTGGATATCATAGCCATCAAACGACGGTTCTTTTAGGCAGCCATCTTGGAACACATGAATGAATTCACAGACAATCACAATGACTTGAAAAACTTAATGTGTGGGTTGGAATAGATTTCCTTAACGTTATTATTAAAATGAAGGCAAAGAGTATTGCGAAAGAACTACTCCTTTTTTCCTCAAAAAGATTACAGTTAACAAATAGAATGAAAACTGCGTTAATTGCAAGAGAAAATATATTGTCAATTGAAGATTCATGAATCGATTAAAGGGAAGTTAATGGAAAACTTTATTTGTGAAACGCAGTTCAAACATGATTCTTTAAAGATATTCAGCTTTGATATCAGAATCAATAATGGAATCCATAACGAAACTTGAGGTGAAGAGAGCAAATTCAAAAAATATTGAATTTCAAAGAACACCATTTCTATTATAAACATACACAGAGAAACGCGCGCAGTCAAGTGTATATATATATATATATATATATATATATATATATACTATTTACATTATTCGGGTTATTGTCCTCATCTTGTCACAATATTTATTACAACGTTTGATATTTATTACAACGTTTCGGCCGTTTTACGGTTCGGCCTTCTTCCTGTGGTTGGAATGTCGAACTGAACGCTTTATTTCGCCAACTTGAGTAGACTGTTCTATTTCCACATGCTATGTTTAATGCACGTCAGTTATCTCCTGGTAATTTCCCTCTCTCCTGCCTTAACCAGGTATTGAAATCACTCACTTTGGGTCCTGTCACTGGATCTAACTAACGCTTTTATCCACTGGGACATGTGTCCTTCATTTGTGTATGAATTTCTGGGTATTATAAACCTAATGTCTTCAGTTTTTTAACATATTGTATTCATTTCTATGCTTGGTCGGCGACAAAGATGTGGTCAATAGTCCGAATAATGCAAATGGTGTACATAACACCTCATCTCAAAAATATAGACACACACACACACACACACACACACACACACACACACACACACACATATATATATATATATATATATATATATATATATATATAGATAGATAGATAGATAGATAGATAGATAGATAGATAATCCTCTTGCACATAATCCAAGTGAATCCTAATAATATAAAATGTTAAAACTGATAAAAAAAAAAAAAAAAACTCAATGTATTTATTATAATAGAGCCTATGAATTACATAAACAAATATCCAAATTAACCTCATCAGAATAGCTATTTAAACCAATAGTTTCTATGCTGGCATTGTCGACTCAGAAGTGTCAAGGTATAACTTCACACTTCTGAGTTGACAATGCCAACATACGATTTGCTGGTTGAAATAGCTATTCTGATGAGGTAAATTTAGATTTCTATTTTACGACAGTTACAAAAGAAAGCTTGATCTATCTATCTATCTATCTATCTATCTATCTATCTATCTATCTGTTGTGGTGTCTAAAGAATCTATGATAAACTCTTCCTCCTACTGTAAGATTAGTAGGAGAGAAGGCCTTAGGGAAACAGTCGAATAGATCGAACCCTGGTTCATCCGACACACACTCACTAGTTGTGTAATACACTTCTATTGTAGACACTAGCAAAAAGTTTTTTTTATGATTATACTTGAAGTACGTTTCCTCAAATCCTTCGTTGCCATGATGTTGTGACCAAGTAAATGGTTAAAGAAATAGCAAAACAAGTATTACAGATATATCATATATTAATTAGTGAGTGTGTGTCGGATGACCCAGCGTTCAATCTATTCGTTATATTTAACAGCCCCCACCCCCGTCACGAGGGATGTATGTGGCACTAGACATAGTTTACCGTAGGTTCTCCGTCCGAGGCGGCATAAACGGGTTCGGGGACTTCCTACCTCCCCGGACGAAACTTTGCCCTTCGACAAAGTCTTGTCTGGGTTCCTTTCTTCCCAAAGGCAGAGAGTTCGACAGCAGCTGCGAAAAGTCACAGCCTCGGTAGAAGAATCTATTCGACTGTTAATATTTAACAGCCACCCCCACGAAAGTGTATGAGGCACAAGGCTGGTTTCTTGTGGGTACTCCGAGCCCGTAGCCTCGGCCAAAACTATTCCCTTTGAACCCGCCTAAACGGGTTCAGGGCCTGTCTACCCACCCCCGGACGAAACTTTGCCCTGCGGCAAAGCCTCGTCCGAGTTCCTGTCTGCCGAGGCAGAGAGTTTGACAGTTGAACAATCTGTGCGACTGCTTCCCCAACGCCTTCTCTCTTATTAATCTTATAGTAGGTGGAAGAGTCCAACATACACTCATTAGAGGGAGGACACCACGACACTATCTATCTCATTCTGTTTTCTTTCTGTCTCTTCCTGTTCTCTTTCTGTCCGTCTCTTTCTTTCTCTTTCTTTTCGTTATTCGTTATCTATCTATCTATCTATCTATCTATCTATCTATCTATCTATCTATCTATCTCATTCTGTTTACTATCTATGTGTCTGTTCCTTTCTATTCTCTCTCTATCAGTCTGTCCATTTAGGTCTCATTCTTTTCGTTATTGTTTATCTATCTGTCTATCTTATTTACATTATTCGGGCTATTGTCCTCATCTTTGTCGCCATATTTATCACAACGTTTCGGCCGTTGTACGCTCCGGCCCTCTTCAGGTGGTTGGAATTTCGAACTGAACCTTTATTGTCCTCAAGGACACATGGCATAGTGGATAAAGGCGTTGGTTAGATCAAGGACCCAAAGAGTGTGAGTTCAATACCCGGTTAAGGCAGTGGCGAACTTTCAGAGGGAAAATTAGCAGGAGATAACTGATAACTGACATCCATCAAACATGGCACGTGGAAATAGAACAGTTTACCCCAGTGAGCGAAATAAAGTGTTCAGTTCGTAATTCCAACCACCTGAAGAAGTCCGGAGCGTACAACGGCCGAAACCTTGTGATAAATATGGCGACAAAGATGAGGTCAATAGTCCGAATAATGTAAATAATATGCATAATACCTCATCTCAGAAATATAAACAGAATCTTTCTATCTATATGTATGTTTTCTATTTTCCTTCATCGCTTTTATTTTTTCATCCAAATTCTCTTCGTTCTTCTCAGATATTTTCTTCGCACTTTCTTTCATAAATCTCTCTCCTTCACACTCCCTCTTTCGGAGATTATTTCTAATAGGAAATCTTTTCTTCTCTCTTCTCACCGTCTTTTGTATTTTTCGGCCAGTTTCATTAATTTGATCTTTAATAACAACCAACAACTAATCCCTTTCATTCAACCATTTCCCCCTTTTCGTCGCTTTATGATCTTTCCCTTCATATCTTTCTCTCGATTAGTTTGAATTCCTCCACCAAATACCTCCCACCTTATTGCTATGAAACAAAATAAAATACCTAAAAAAAGCCTCTGAGAGACGTTCAGTTCAGACCTTATCTTTCCTCTAATGTAAAACTAACAATGCAGTAAGTAACCAATCAATCACAAAAATAAAGCAACATGATTCCCTTCCCTCTCTTTACTATACCAGCGGGACCTTAACAGACAATACCTCTCGTTCTTTCGCGACCATTTACAAATACTGAAAGCAAATTCAATTATAATTCTCTTTCGATCGATGGAAGGGGACTTGGCATCTGTGCTTCAGTCTTGAAAACTTGCTTCTATTGTAATAACCATTTATGTTAATAAGAAAGACAAAACACCAGAAAGGATGCTTTCAGAAATAAAATAGTGAGAAAAACGATGAATAAATGTGGTTTTTCGCCCTTTATTCTCTTGTGTTGTTGTTTATACGACGGGATGGGACGTCATAATGGGAAAGAACTGTAATATAAAGAACTGTAATATAAAGAACTGATAAAAAAAGACGAAGCAGTTTAGATCACACTAAGTGAAAAAGAAATCAGTTTCCCATCATGTGTAAACTCTGTTCATATCAATCTATATATTTGATTCAACACACTCTGTTTTTTTGACTTTGTTTCTTAGTTTGTTAAGTGAAATATTTAACAACTTGCATATATAAGCCATGTAGATATTGATATAAACACTTAAAGAATCATCAGATATTGTTGAAGGCGGGAAACAGGCAGTTTCTTTTAAAATCCTATCATCCCATGCAAGGCAGTAAAGTTAGTAAGACACAACCGGATATTGAGTGTGAAAGAATAAGAAAAACAAACCTTATGTAGTAGCAAGAACAATAAAAGAACAAGAATTAGGAAGACAGTAGATAACTATTCGCATTGCATTTAAATTATTGAAGATCAAAATTGGCTGGAAAGCATGGAGCCGGAAGAGAGTTTCACGATCGAGAAGAGCGCAAGTAATTTTGATTTCTAATACAGACACCCCTTTCCCATATATATAGTACATTTTAAAGTAACACACACACAGACATATATATATATATATATATATATATATATATATATATATATATATATATGTGTATGTATGTGTGTGTGTGTTATGTATGTGTGCATATAATTGTGTATTTCGATAGCACTCATTCTTTAATACAAGTTTAATTGTAGAAGTTTTTTTCTTATCTGAACATAACGTGTGTATAAATTGTCCAAATGCTCTGTATATCTGAGCACTTTCAGTTATTCGTCTTGATAATGGCTAAAACGATAGCCGAAAGCGATCGGATATACAGAATATTCTGACAATTTTTTTACACGCTGTATTTCCACAAAATATTAAACTGATATGAACACAAGAAAAATTTAAAAAACTAATCACAGAACCTTTTCTGACGTCTTTAATAAAATCTTATATATATATATATATATATATATATATATATATATATATATATATATATATATATATATATATATAAAACCTAGTGAACGCCAGACAAACCTACCCAGGTTTCACCTAAACGGATCGTCAGGGAAAGCCGATCTGCTCTACGGTTGTATTGAGGTCTTTTGTTAGTTAGTTGTTTACTCGTGTCGGGTTTTTTCTTTGGGCTTTGGACCTGTATCTGTGCCATTTTTTTTTCGACAGACTTTCATGTTTCTAGCTCTTTCTTTTCTAAAACCTTTTTTTCCCTCGAGATTGATTTGATTATTGGCAAATCAAAAATTCGAAGCTTTTTCGAAACGAATATAGTTACCTATATATATATATATATATATATATATATATGATAATAATAATAAATGCACATTTTTCTCACCGTAATGCGGCCCAGAATTTCATGCACAACGCAATCTTCAGGTGACGAAATGGAAACTCAGAGGCTACCGATGAGAAAAAAATGTACATTTATTATCAATACATAATTATAGCTTTGTTATATTACATCGAGCACTATTTTATTAGCACGTACACTGTGATATATATATATATATATATATATATATATATATATATATATATATATATATATATATATATATGCCCCAACTAATTTCGCTTATATCGAAAGATGGAAGTGGAATATAATCCAAAACTGATTTTAGCCGTTAATATTAAGAATGTATAACTATATTTAAAAAACGAAAATGGAAATAAATATAAGATAATATAATGTTTTTTTTGTTTACAAATTAATATGAAAGAGTCATTAAGTCAAAATTATACAGCTCTCTTTTGGAATAAATTTCAATCAACCGGATACACGTCTAGGGTTAAGTTTATCATCGCAGAAAGTGGAGTCGGCGTGCAGAGTTCAAATTGTCATTCTGCTTGGTACTTTAACTTTCTCATTGATCGCCTTGGAAAAATCCTGAATTTTTCTCCAAAAAATTATTTGCATAAATTGGATAACGGGCTCTCTTGCTAGTGCAGAATTAGGCCAATTCTAAATCCAATATCCGCCTGAAGAGGAACGTACTCAGTCAAGCCTCTTGCTCTAGACGAACATATTTCTGATACCTTTGCCCTATATGTAGTATCCAACAGCCCAAATAATTTACGGGATGGTGAATAAACCTAAATTGCATTGAGAACACAAGACATTCAATAGTCTCAAGTAGAATGTCGCCATAGAAACGCTTTGTGCAGTAGAGTAAATTGTGTCCATTTTCGGAGTGTTTTCTTGTTCACAGAAACATTTCACAGAGTTTACAGCCCACTCTATTATCGCGATGTCAGTGATTTCAAACTATTGCGAATAGGTGCATTATCTTTAATGGCAACTGGCAAAAGGAACACGTCTTTTCTCCAATACTTTTATGTAACGTGGAGCGTGTTGTTTTTCTTCCATCACCGATTCAGTTTTTAGTTTAAATTAAAAAAAAAAAATAAAAAAAATCTCTCTCTGCTAAAAGAGATCTTCCGTAAGATGAATGTTTGGAACAAAAACTCTTAGCTGACTGAAGATCGTGCCCATCAAATTGCATTCTACTGAGAGGAGTAGAGCACAATTAATCTTTTGACCTTTCACAAAATAGGCGACGGGAGTTTGTAGTGGTAAAATATAAGTGATTTTACTCGACGTTGTTTACTGCCTACCGTTACCAAATTCTTTAAAAAATTATGTTACCTTATTGCGTAAATGCGCTGTTACTGTCCCCCCAAAGAACAGGGCAATATCTACGCATAATCAATGAATCTATCTATCTATCTATCTATCTATCTATCTATCTATCTATCTATCAGAGTCTGTTCATATCTATCTATGAATCTATCGATATATCTTTTTTTTCTTTTCTATCTATCTATCTATCTATCTATCTATCTATCTATGAATCTATCTATCTATCTATCAGAGTCTGTTCATATCTATCTATGAATCTATCGATATATCTTTTTCTTTTCCTATCTATCTATCTATCTATCTATCTATCTATCTATCTATCTATCTATCTATCAGAGTCTGTTCATATCTATCTATGAATCTATCGATATATCTTTTTCTTTTCCTATCTATCTATCTATCTATCTATCTATCTATCTATCTATCTATCTATCTATCTATCTAAGTCTATTCATTTCTGTCTATGTATCTATATATCTATGTATATTTGTCATTTCATATCTATCTATCTAGCTAGCTAGTTAGCTAGCTAGCTTTGAAGTAATATGAAATGTTATTCTGCTTTCACAATTGAATACATGGTAGAAGATACTCAGCTTTGTGCATATACATGTTTTTGTGAGCATAATTACTCGAGGCAGTGCTATATATAATCTATGTTGTAGTATTGTTGAAGTTATATTTTGGAATTGGCGGGGTGCGGTCAATATTTTCCCATATACGGGACCAAAACAGGTGCTAACAATATGGGTAAGGGTGGACCTGGGAGCAACAGAAATTAACAGGTGGTTCCACGACCCTCAAAACCTTCAATATCCCGGTGTTGAATAACTTTCGAAAAAATGATTTAATTTTTTTAAGCTAAACAGTATTATATATTTTACGTTGGTGGAGAATGGGATTGCGAAATTTTAGGAGGTGTTGTATTATATATATATATATATATATATATATATATATATATATATATATATATATATTTTTTTGTTTATACGTTCTTTTTTAAGACATTTTTTATGTTTATACGTTCTTTTTTTTTTTTTTTATAGATTTTTTATAAATATAAAATGTCTTAAAATAATTGTCGGACTTTGTCCATTTTATAATATATATATATATATATATATATATATATATATATATATATATATATATATGTGTGTGTGTGTGTGTGTGTGTGGCACAGTTATTAGGAGAAGGTAAAGGCCAACCACGCAGCTCTTAATATACCTTATACTAACTTCGATCGAGTTAAATGGAGATATTTGCGTCAGCGTGCAATCAGAAATTTCGAAATTAGTCGTATTGCCCGGCTAAGAGACGAAGGACAAAGGCAAAAAGCGTCAGCAAATGTTCCTGCTGCTATGTCCCGGGTTCTTCGCTGTTGCACAAAACGCGGACTTGTAGGCGGGTCTCTAGCGATACTGGAATGTCACATCCAACACAAACATTAATGTAAATGGGGTTGTCGGATTCTCATAACTCGAAATCGATGGGAGAGTTCATTTTCCGCTGAGTTCTTGCAGCGACTGGCTCCTCTGATTCTCCTCCGTCAGTCATGATCCCGCGGGATCTGATTAACATTTGGATCAATGTCATGTCATAGATCCTTTCGAGGATGATATGGGCGTCGCATTAAGCACCTACTTTTTGTTGTTTGGCACAGCAGCCATTAATGTGATATATTTTCGGGGAACCAAGGTCTTCCAGGAAGCTAACTAGTCACTCGTTATCCAGCTACTACTGCAATTCTGGTTGACATTCGCTTCTGACATGTTTAGGCACATGATACTCAGGGATCCAATTCTTCAATTTCTCCGATGCGTTGCCATTCGTTATTTAATTTA